AATCAAGGTGGGCTAAATGATTTTCTGCAAATCCCCCATGAGGTTAGTGACAGTTATCTTACTATTTTTTTTTAAGTATAAAGATAGCCTCGCCAGTGTGTAAAAGGAAACCCATGGAAAGGCTGCTTCCCATAAAATAGACATTAGAATCACTGAGGAACGTCAGCAGTCAAGACAGGAGGAACAAGAGGTAACAATAGTGAAAAATCAAAACAACTTGTATCTTGGCAAGATTGATTTTACAAATACATGTCAAAAACAAAACTTCCAACATCAGTCCATTGAAAACAAAAGATAAAAGATGACATTCGTGGGTCCTTTCCTTTGTCTTTGTGCGAAATGCTTCCACTTTTTCTAAGTGACAGAAGATTGTACTCTGTGACACGACACAACACGCTGTGTCCGTGGTGCCCTGCCCAGAATCTGGGCACTCGGGCTGAACACCATCTCTCCTGGCTGGAGGACTACTTCCCACTTTGCTGCTGAATTCATTCGCTAAGCTGGTCAAAGAAAAGCTCTCTTCTGGTTTCAGAGACTATATAGCAATTATATATAATATAATTCTATATGAAGACTATGGACCAAGAGGACAAGAACACACAAACCTTTCCTTCAGAAAATTCAGCCAAGAAAAGAGAGTGAGAAAAACAGGGCCAAAAGGAAGGAAAACACTGCAGGTTGGACCTCAAGCCTAAGCCTCTCAGAAACATTCTGTGCCATCCAAAATCAACAACAAAGATAGAAAAGAAGGCATAAAACTCCAACCCTTAGAAGAAAACATGAAACAACAAAGAAATCTCTTTCCAACGTGCATTTATCCCTGTGAGGCTCAGCTGTCAGTGTCGGGCTCACTTGGCACAATGGGGATACCTTAGGCCTCAGTCCAACTTTGTCTGTCACCGCTGATTCTCCAAGCTGCAAAGGGAACTGGAACACTATGAAAATGGCTTTGCTCTTTCTCATTCATGCTGCTCCCTTTACTGTCTCCTTCCTTCAAGCTAGGGGCCCACCCTCTTAATCCTCTGCCCCAGGGGACTCACATGCAGTGAGGCCTTGGACAGATGAGCCTATGTCCATTGGAGCTGGAGCAGGAGGACATGAACATGATGAATTCTAATCTGTAAAATGGTAACCATCAATACATCAGGGTGTCAAGGAGGGCTTTGTGAAAGGAAAGACATAGTGGGACTTATGAAAAGGCCCACACCTAGTCGTAACTGGCACAGGATTCAGACAACCCTAAACAATGGTGGCATGAAGAAATGGCAGGGGGCATCTTCTCAGCATCCAAACACAGTCCTAACAAGGTCTGAGGCTGGACTTCTGGGTCACTCTTGAAGCCCACCTGCTATCTTGCAAGAAACAGGTATGGTTCTTATCTGGTGAAGTACAAGACCTGCTTTCTGAATTTACTTGATAATAAAGCAACACCATAGAAAAGAAGAACCTAAGGAAAATGTAGGATCAGCACATGGGGTTTCCCAGTGCTAGCTACGTGTTTTGGAGTATTAGTTATATACACCCTTTCATGATTCTGAGAGTTGCAACATAGGTTACCCAGGGTAGTCTGAAAAAGAGCCCTACTTCATTCTAATTCCAGATCATTCTTAAGAAAAAAGTCATTCTGAAATATAGCTAATTAGGACAATTCACTAGAACTTTACCTACTAAAATTAAAAGGTTAAAAATGTTTTAAATACAAGTTAAATTACTGTCTTTGGGGATAAGCAATTAGAACCCCAAATATCCCAACATCTTAATTAAAAAGGTCTTCACAGTAATTCTATAAAACTGTAAATGATGCCTTTTGGTTTTTTGTGTGTGATGCCAAGGACTGTACCCAGGGCCTCACACTTGCTGGGTGAGTACACTACCACTGAGCTATATTCCCAGTCCCAATGATGTCAATTTTTGGAAACTAACACAGAGTTGAACTTTAGAATGAATGTCTGAGGCAGCTGACAAGTTCCATATAGATGAATACATCCCAAGGGGAATCCCTCTAACAGAGAAATACATTTTTTTTTTTTTGAGACAGGGTCTCACTCTGAAGTTCAGGCTGGCCTTGAACTCACAGAACCTTCCTGCCTTAGCCTCCTGAGTGCTGGGACTACAGGTGCACTCCACCACACCCAGGCAAGAAATACTTTCTTAAAAGAAAAGAGAAGGGAAGAGCAAAGGAAAGCTTCTAAAGAATTCAAAAACTGATGGTTCGACAACCAAACTATGCAACAACTCGAACAGAAAGAACGGGCTGTCTGTGTAGCACTTCTTGTCAGCATAGTGCCATTAGCTAGTAGAAGCACCTGGGAACAAGAAATAGCCGGACCTGCTGAGGAAAGTATTTAGCTCAGATAAAGTAATGGCACCTCCAGACTCTGGCTACTTCTACTCGCACCATGCTCTAACCAAATGAACTAAATGGCCACCCCTGGCTCCTTATAAATGGATGACAATTCATTCATTCATCCAAACTGCAGAGGTTAAACAAAACATTCACCAAAACAAAAGAAAAATACTCTAACCCAGAAAACCTTTCCTTGCTCTCTACTACTGGTAAAAGGTGCTGAATTCAATTATTTTTGCTAACATGGGTTCTACTAAACTCAGTCTGCTTTGGAGTACTAACCTGCCATGCCTTTCCATAAGCATCACCATGGATGTGTGAAGCTGTTAGCAGGCTGAATAATGCCAGTGGACCACAGACCTCCATCACATCAAGCACCATTTTCTACTATAAAACCAAAGGCAGCAATTGTGAACACATTTTGGACTTTCTGAAAGGACAGATGAAGACTGAAGGCTACAAAAGACGGGAGGAGGGTGTCCACAGTTATACAACAGGTTTCTGCAGACTTTATGGTAACTTCCAAAAACAATAGTAGCAGCAAGAGAGGAAAGGAGGATATTTACACTTTGGACTTTATATCAGGCACTTAAATTGTTGGAGTGACATGCAATTCTAAACCAAAGATGCGAAAACTGGGTTGGAGTAATCATTACAAGTGGTTTAATAATGGGCTTTCAGAAACAAAGTGGAGGTGTGGGTCAAACCTTTGCTCATCCTTTAGTGCTGACTTTCAAATTTTCTAAATGCCCAAAACCACAGCAATCACAGCAGTGGTGGCAACAGCAGGAACGGTTCTGTCGTGTCTATTTTCTGTGTCCTGTGGCTGACCAGAAGGGTCTGGTGTCACACTGAGACGGCTCTGGGATGTAGCATATCTATTGTCCAGGGTTGGTCAGATCCAAGCTGGAGCCAACCATCTTCATTAGCTGTTTTTCATAGTGTGAGATGTTCCTCTTCATAATGTCCATGCAGGGCCCCAGAAGTCTCTCAAATGCTTGAACATCCATAACTAAGCAGGTGACATTTCCAACTGCATAAACCGAAGCAGTTCTAGGTTTGTTGGTGACCAGTGCAAGCTCTCCAAAACTGGCTCCCAGCATCCTTGTTTCTTTTAGTCTTGCTCCTAGTCATGATGAGCACTTCACCAGACTCGATGATGTAAAAGCTGTCACCTTTATCACCTTGAGTGGTTATACTTTCTCCATCCTTACAGTTCTTTTCTCCTATCACATCCACAATCTTCATTCGTTTTGACACCTCTAATGATTTAAGAAGCGGCACAGACTCAATAAATGATTCGAACATCTTCCTCCTTTTTGCATTGTTATTCACTGATTCTTCTAAAAGTCACCCGGTCCAATCCCCACAGGGAGCCTTCAGAGGTGGCAACAATGGTAGCAGCCTTCGGGGTACTGTACATCAAAGATAGTTTTCCAAAACTGCCATGGTTGTCATTCTGATCAACAGAATGCATTTGATTATCTTTTGTTACTAAAATGTCATGGGTTCCCCTTTCTATGACATAAAAGTTGTCTCCACCATCTCCTTGGTCAATGACATGCTCATCCAGTTTGACTGTCCATTCAAACATGGCATTGAGGACTTGAGAAAGCTGTTCCTGATCAAGATTTTTGAAAAGAAGAATATCTTTGCAAGCTTCCTGAAGTGTGCATCTTTGTTCATCAGTTTTAGGATGAATCACCCGCGGATCAGTATTTTCTCCTCCTTCATCAGGGTTATAAGCCTCTGCACAGACTGATACTCGTCTGTTAAATTTGCTGGGAAGCGGGACTTCCAGGTCCTCGTCGACCTCCGAGTCGCTGCTCGCTTCGGCATCAGAGGCCGCATCGGGCTCGGAGTCGCCTGACAGGGCGGCGGCGGCCGGGGCGCGAGCCTCGCACAGACAGGTGAAGTAGTCCACTGCGAACTCCACGAGGTCAGGCGGCTAACTCCACGAGGTCAGGCGGCTAACTCCACGAGGTCAGGCGGCTGCCTCCGCAGCACCTCCACAGTGTACCCCTGAAGCAGCTCCATGAGCCCCGGCGGGATGTGGAAGCGTCTCATGCTGGTGGCGGCGTGGTGAGGAGAACTTGCCCTCCGCCCGCGGCTCGGCGTATGCGGCTCCTTCAGGGCTCCTCGTGTCACGCCCGTGGCGGCCAGGGCTGCGGTTCCGGGCCGCGCCACCCTACGTTCTTAAAGCCAGCCTGCCACTTCCGCCGCGGGCACCCGGTCGCCGCCGCCGCGGGGAACCACCGGCAGGCGGGCGGGGCTCGCTCCGGTTTTGTGACGCAGGACGCAGGCGGACGTGCGCGGCCTCCTGTCTTTTTTCATAATAGCCATCCTAACAGGTATGAGGTGAAATTTCATTGTGGTTTTGATTTGCATTTTTCTCACGATTTAAATGACAGTCCTGCCAGAATCCTAGGGAATAGAAGAAGGTTGATTGTGGAAAGCAGAATCAGACATTGTATGCATTTTACTTTTCCGACTGCCCAGCGAGCACAATTTAAAAAAAAAAAAAGCTCTCATTTAAGATAACAGCCCACAACTGAAGAAAGACTCGTCAGGATTTTGCAGTAAACACTGTCACTGCCTGTCCATATCCTTTTTTTTTTTTTTTTTTTTTGGTACTGGGGATCCTGTCCATATCTTTTTGTCCTTTACCGTTTTCAAGCATACTGGCCTGACTCCTGTCTGCCCGGCTGTGCACTTCTTTGCCTAAGGGTTTTCTCTGACTGTTGCCTACTTTGTCAGCTGTACAGCAGGTCACAATTGCAGAGGAGTGAATGTTTCTTCCTCTCCAGAAGTTATTCTCCACCAGTGACTGATGGGAGCTGATGTGAACACTTCAGGCCCCTCACTCCTTGTGGTGAGCTAACACTGTGGTATGTGCCTATACTGACTTAGAGAGTTTCCCATAGCAAGAAGCTCCTTTTGCACACAATAGTAATTGACTTGATAATGCATACTATATTGCTTTCCTTACTTTCTTTGCATCACTTCCCCACTCTTTTACCAGTATTTTCCTTTGCTTACCAAATAAACTGCTTGCAGTAGATTTCTTGTCTCAGCATATGCTTCTAGGGGCACCACCCTCCCTCCTGCAAGCAGAAATAGCTAAAGTCATGCCATATCTGCTGTAGGAGGGAATGTGTGTGTAAGGGGGTGGTTTCTTCAGTTGTGAGCTAGCTACATACCTGTAATTTAAGTCCAGATGTGGCTCCCCATGACCCAGCAACATAAATAGCATTTTGAAAAGAACCCAATTGTTGGAAGAACCTTAATAAGAGCTCATTGAGAGAGGGAAAACATCAAAAGGTGGTCACCCATTTGTAGCACACATTAGCTCCCTGCAAGACAGGGGCATCAAGTGCTCTCAAGTGCTCTTGGCCTTGGCGGCATTCAGTGTTCTGTGGTCAGCCCCTCTTGCTGCCTCTGGGCTGCTCTTTGTGCTCATCCCCCTTGTCCATTGTCCTCCCAGCCATATCTAAAGAGTGCCTAGGATGAGTTCCTCTTCTGAATTCTGCATAGCTTTTTCAGCTCATTTCCTGTTGGTGTAAGATCTAAGGCCTGAGGATGTCTTAAGGTATGTCAGACACATTTGCCTGATTTTAACACTCATTTGGAATGCTTATTAAAAGCATAAATTCCCAGCACTGCTTCTCACCTCTCTGAAGAAGAAGATCCTGGGAAACTGGCCTTTTCTGGATTCCCTAGAGAAAAGAGTAAGAGTCAAACGCTTCATGGTAGAGCCTTAATGAGAGGCACAATTTTTGGGCAACACAACTTAGGAACAAGGGGAAGGAAGGAAGGGAAGGAGGGAGGAAGGAAGGGAGAATGCAAGGTCATGCATTATGACCTATGAAGCTGACTACAGCTTCACAAGAAAACAGCTAGTTACTTGGTTAGACAAAAGTCTTCTCTAAATGTTACACATACTCACCATGTCTTGGAATGGTCTACTGAGAGGTGAAAAGGAAAGATTATTTACTGGTTCTGTCCTATTAAGAGTCACCCAAGAGATGTTAGCTCTCTCATGGCCTGGGATTCATTTCCACCTTCCTTCACTGACAGGTTCACTAAATTATATGTAGAATAACAATTCCTCAACATGAAGAAATGCATGCAGAAGTCGGGAACACTGGCACAGCTCAGGAGGCTGAGAGGGAGGATTGTTTGAGTTCAGGAGTTCAAGGTCATCCCCAGAGACATAACAAGATTCATTTTCAAGGGAAAAACACCAATTCACAGAATTTGAAGGTTATAAGGTAAAGGGGTGACATTCAAGATATTTAACAATCATAAGTTATTATGAATATTATAGGAGAGAGAATATGTGTACCTGTTTTCATGAGGTTAGAAGCCATGATTTTCAGTCCACCAGAAAAAGAGATACAAATATATAATCAAAAAATAAAACTTTTACTCCTAAATTTGGATTTGGAACATTGGTATATATTTAAGATGCATTTTATTTTAAAGATTATCTAGCTCTGTATATTAAAATAAAAAAATCTAAGAGTCCAAATCAATGATCAAAGCGATAGAAATGAGAGCCTCTCTAGAACCCAGACTGTGGTCTCTAAATATTATTTTTCTCTGAAAAGGAATCATAGCTACTTGAAGAAATGTCAGATTTCATGTCTGTGGCAGAAAATATACAGAATGAACCAGAAGCATCTTATATAGGAAATTAAAAACAACTATCCAATATTACTGTAGGAGGCATGTGTCAGTTTAAGCATCAAAAAGAACAGTAACTTCACTGGACTGGAAGACATCATGTATATTCATGGATTCATAAAGATATATAAAGCAATGAAAAAACAGAATTTTTTGATCAATTTTGAAGAATGCCAAGGAATTACCTCATTATTCTGAATGCTGATAAATAAAAGCAAGTAAGCACTTATCATGATTTTTCTGTATGAACCATATCCCAGAGTAACTGAACAGTTGATGGGGAAATGTTATCCTTTATAGAAAAATTCCAGCTGATAAATGTATAAAGGGTGGTAGAATTAGAATGAAATTTCAGAAATCACAAATACTAGACTTAAAATAAAATAATAGTTCTAGGCCACATCTAATAGCCTTTTCTGTGATCGTAGGAAGAGTATATTTGCATTGTTCTATACTGTAGTCACTGTACATATTGAGCATTTGAAATATGGTTAGTGTGACTGAGGAACTGAATTTAAAATTGTATTTAATTTTTTTATTTGTTTGTTTGTTTTGTAGTTCTAGAGATTAAGTCCAGGTTCTTCCCAATGAGCTACATTCCTAATCCTTATTTTATTTTATTTTTTATTTCTAGACAGGGTCTCATTAAGTCACTAAGTTGCCCAGGCTGGTCTAGGAAGTTGAGTCCTCCTGCCTCAGCCTCCTAGAGTGCTGGAATTATAGGTATGCATCAATATGACCAGTGATCTGCTTTAACTAAAATTTAAATAGCCACATGGACATATGACAATTTTTAAAAATGTATTAGACAGTTAAATATTTTTAATGTTTCCCTTGTTCCTTAAATACTGTTCTCATTTCAAATAATTAGAAAAAATTCTACATACTGTAGGGCTGTATCATCAATTCCAACCGTGGGTATTCCAACAGCTACTAACACTTGCAGTGTCTTCTGATTTTCATAACAGTTCTGAGATTTATATCACTTTCTCTGTGCTAGATGCATTGTGAAAAATAGTTAATTTCCAAATTGTTGACATTTCTTTTTTTTTTTTTTTGGTACTGGGGATCGAACTCGGATCCTGGCACTTGCAGAGCAGGCGGGCAGAGCCACTGAGCTAAATCCCCAGCCCCATGTTGACATTTCAATTTATGGAAGAACAAAGTTATTATTTCTTACACACACACATCAAATCCTTTGAATTTACAAATGCACAATTATGTCCACAATTATGACTTCTCTCCACTGCTACTCTTCTTACCACTATTTTCAATTGTATGGCTTCAAGCATTAAGCGACCACCGACCCAAAACACCTAAATATTTCTGATTCTTTCTTAAATTAGCCCACAGAATATTTAATACACCATTTGCATGAATTACTAAACAGAGCGGCACAATATAATGCAAAAAACATTGAACTAGTATCTGAAACTGGCTCTTAAACTTAGGGTAAAGTCATTTCACATTGGATATAGGGTGGACTAAGACACACTCTCTTTTCAGCTCTAATATTACTTTAGATTTATAGTATATTTTATAATTAGTAAGAAACTTAAGTGCTTTGTCACACATATAACAAATTAAGAGTTCATTTGAAAAGCTATTTGATTTCTAGCTGTACTTACACCAATAAGACAGAAAATATAACTGAGACTAAAAATCTGGCCAAGGTGGTTATAAAGTTGGTCTGAAACATTAAAACAATGGAATTTTATTTTGATGAAAAACTTGAGTTACAATCATTTATTAAACGAAGAGCAAACAATTCATTCGCCTACCTCATAATGTTTAAGAAAAACATTAGTAAATAAATATCTGTGAACAGATTAAGGGTAAGGCAGACTGGATAATAAACCACCTCTGATGTTCACACTCCCTGCATGTGACTCACTCTCAAAGGGTAAAACAGCACTAGAGATAAGTGAACCAATAAGATATGTGCACTGAATCTCATCCTAATCATTCAAATAAGCCCAAGATAAATACTATTTTGTCCATCATGGGCAGCAAACTATACATGTTTTACTGAAGAAATACTTAGATAGAAGCACTTAAGTTATATTATACATCACAACTATGAAATGGCTTGAACAGTTCCATTTGCCCACCATATATAAAGTGCAACTATGTAATATTCTGCATTTATCTGGGGTGTGATGAATACCAGTCTTGCTTGAAAGCATCCCAGCTGCCAATTTCCACTTCTGAAAAGACCTCTATGTGTGAAAAAGGACTGTCCCCCATACAAAGAACCAATTTCACAAATCTACTGGTAAACAAATACATTTTTATAGGTGGAACCTCAGGATGCTAGAATTGTACTCATTTAAAAAACCATTCAGCTACGTTTGGTCTTTAAAAACCCTACACTGCAATATCCTAAACATGTGCATCTCACAATGAAGAAGAGTGGCCTTGCAGTGTGAATGAGGAGACTGTGAAGAGTAGCATGCTATGGTTTCAGGGACAGTGTCACAGCATTGGATTCTGTGCTTCAGGATCGAGGTCACTGTTGCCAGAACGGGGGTGGATGGGGAGGATATCCACCTCATCCACCTGTGGAGTTGGGTGTATGACTACCAGCTGGTCCTGGGGAATGTCTGCAGCAGCTGCTGCCAGGTTGGTGATAGATTTACTTTTTACACACTGGAAGTCTACATGCTGACTCTTTCCTTCTTCCTTTTCCCAGGACATTCGAATAAAGGGTCTTTGGACATAGTTGCAAATGACTTCTGGGCAGCCCCCAGGCCTTTTCTTTACTTTTTCTTTGTACGTAGGATAACCTTCTATTCCCAATCTAATCTTCTTAAGACCCCTCTCCTTCAAGACTGATTTGGCCACATCTCTGTTTTCAATATACTTGAAAAATCTATATAATTTTGTGCTATAAATAATTTGTGCATATTCTTCTCCCATCTGTGGTGGATACTCTTCATCCCAGTCAACCACATCATCATCTGCAAGCACCACTATATCACATTCTCATTCTCCACTCTGGGCACTAGCTACCATGAGAGGGAGGATCATTTCTTCCAGATAAAATTCAAATTGTCTACAAGCACCATCATTTGATAACTCATGCATCAGGGCACTGAGATCTCTACATTTAATAGCACTACTATATTCAAAAGAAATACAATGAACTCAACACCCAGCTTCAACAATTAACTTATTTTAGCAAATTGAAGCAGTAATAGACACTTATTATCTCACACAGTTTCTATGACACAGCATTTTCAGGAGTAGCCGAGCCAGGTGGTTCTAGCCCTTCTCAGGAAGCTGTAGTCACACTGTTAGCCTGGACTGGACTCATCTGAAGCCCTAACTGATTAAGGGCACGAGTGCTACCTGCCCTAAGTACTCTGAATAAGATAAAAGGGGCAGAAAGGCCCCTGTTAAAGGTCTCTTATTGCTTTTGCTACCTTTCATCACCATGAACTTATGCCACTCTGCCTGGAGTGAGCTGATTATGAAGCTACAAACTGTAAGCCAAATAAACCTTTCCCCCTTTAACTTTCAATGTTGAATATTTTGTCTCAGCAACGAGAGAAAAGTAACACAGTTGGTTCCAAACAAGGCACACACTTTGAATTTGATTGATCATTTAGGTCTCTAATGTATAGTTTCTATGTCTTTCCCCTGCTTTCTCCTTACAGTTATTTGGTAAATAAATCATACTGTTTGTTCTGAGCTTGCCACATTCCAGATTTTGATCTTTCTTGCTACAGTGTTACCATGTTCCTTTGTTCCCTTTATTTCCTAACCTGATAGTTAAATCCAGAAGCCTCTCTCCAGATCTAGTTTTGATTTTTTTTTTAGCAAAAGTACTTAATGGGTGTTATTATATGCTTCTTATTGTATCAAATCAGAAGACATAATATCTGTTTGCATCTATCTCTTCTTGTGATAAGATCTATCAGTAAGTTCAGTGGTAGTCATTTTGATTTGTCTATTATAAACTTTTCCTCCAATCTTTCAACTAATGGTTTTATAGCAGCTGAAGATAATCATGTCCTAGAACTGCACTAGCACAATAAAAATTTGTCATATGGGCCGCCTCTACACCCACCTCTGGTGGGATCTGGTTGAGGAGAAAGCGGAGGCGGCGTTGGCCTCAGCCTTTGCCTTGAAGGGGAAGCACAGGTAACGAAGTATTTCCTCACATGTTGCTAAAGGAGGAGTAGACCACACCAAAATGAGTCTACAAGGTGCTAATGGGGGACAGGAGAGATCACAAGACAGATGAAGATCAAGTGACAGATCACGAGATTCATCTCATGAAAGAACAGTCTCAACTCACTCCTTGTATTAGAAATGTTACCTCTCCAACACGGCAGCACCATATTGAAAGAGAAAAAGATCATAGTTCCTCTCGCTCAAGCAGTCCTCATCCTCAAAAAGCATCTCCAAATGGTTCAGTTAGCAGTGCTGGGAAGAGCAGCAGAGACAGTAGTCAGTCAAGTTCAGATGGTAGCTGTAAGACAACTGGGGAGATGGTATTTGTATATGAAAATGCAAAAGAAGGAGCTCAAAATGTAAGAACATCAGAACGAGTGACATTAATAGTGGATAACACTAGATTTGTTGTAGACCCATCTATTTTTACTGCACAGCCAAATACAGTGTTGGGCCGGATGTTTGGATCTGGTCGAGAACATAACTTTACATGTCCCAATGAAAAGGGAGAGTATGAAGTGGCAGAAGGGATTGGTTCCACTGTATTTTGAGCTATCCTGGATTACCATAAAACAGGAATAATTCATTGTTCTGTTGGCATATCTATTCCTGAGCTGAGAGAAGCATGCGATTATCTCTGTATTTCTTTTGAGTTCATTGTACTCTTCTCTCCACCTTTGTGTATGCTTGAGATTTTTTTATGACAAAAATTAAAGATTGAATTCTTATCTTACATCATTCTGGGTGGGTTAAAGTTTAAAATCCCTAGTAAATTATCATCTTTGTTACCTCAAGATAGGAAAGGAATTTTGTTTTTGTTTTTGTTTTTTGAGACAGGGTCTCACTTTGTAGTTCAGGCTGGCCCTGACTCACTATGCAGCCTAGGCTGGCCTCAAACTCACGGCAGTCCCCCTGGCTCAGCCTCCTGAATGCTGGGATTATAGGCATGTGCCACCATGCCCAGGAGGACAGGAATTCTTAAACAAGAAACAAAAAGCAAAGGCTATAAAGAAAATTGATAAATTAATCTTTTTGTTGTTGTTGGCTTTTTTTGGGGTAGGGGTTGAGACAGGGTCTCACT